GCAGACGAACGACAAGCACGTGCCCCTCTCGAACTGCTCGGTGAAGACTGCTGTCTCCGTCCACTGCCCTCAAAGTCATGATGCCTCCCCTCCCCATCGCATTCTTCACCGTTATTCTGTGCGTTAACACAAGCACCATGCGCTAGAAGCAGCTGCGAGGTCCCTCAGGACTATCTTCCCTCCCTTTCTTCCCGCTACCTTAGCGCACTCAAGGTGTCCGGAGTTGGCGGCGAACAGCAGGGGAGTGTTTCCCTTGAGGGTCCGAGCATCCACGTCCGCCTGCTTGAGCTTGAGGGGAAGCAGAAGGGAGGAAAGGGAGGGAGGGAGGGAGGAAACATCTTAGCTGACCTTGGCCTCCAGCAGGGCTCGAGCTACCTCCACGTTCCCCTGGCATCTGGTGAGGATGCGAATCGAGAGATTCTGCCGCACCTGCGCCTTCACTGCAGCATGTAGAGCCGTGACACCAACGTGATCAGTCTGATATAAACTATCCTGATAGAGGTCGTTACCCTCCTCCTCCTCCTCCTCCTCCTCACCTCAAACCACCAGCACGGCAATACAGCATGGTTCACGTCAGCCCTTCCTTGGAGTAGAAGTTTCACCATTTCTCCTCTCCCCTACGATATTGTCATTCTCTTCCTCCTCCTCCTCCTCCTCCTCCTCCTCCTCCTCCTCCTCCTTTCTTCCTCTACCTCGCCCGCTGCTATTGTTAGGGGTGGAAATACCCCTGTGTAAAAGTTGCAGTCCTAATCCATGATGAGATTTCGACGAGGAGAAGGAGGAGGAGGAGGAGGAGGAGGAGGAATGAGGGAGGAGAGAGGAAAGGCGGGAGGGGAGAAGACCAGAAGGGAAAAGAAGGAGAAATGAGGGTAATGGAGGCAGGGAGGGACGGGGACCATGACGGAGGAGGGAGGAAGAGGGAGTGGAGGAGGATGAGGACAAGGAGGACAAATCACCTTCCCACTCTTGACATAGCGCGAAACAAGTTGCACATTTTCAGTTCGAATTGCTAGCAGAAGGGATTCTGCCTTCCAGCAGAGCTGAAGACATTGACGGGTCAGACGGGAGGAGGTGACAAGATGTGAAGCAAAACAAGAGGATGGGGGTTGGGGTTAGGGTTGGGGATCAGGAGGAGGAGGAAGAGGAGGAGGAGGAGGAGGCAGGGATCACCTGTGCACATGCCCGACAGACTCTCACAGGCTGGAGGAAGTCGAACTTGGGGAGAGGTCGTTTCTCTCGGCAGCAGCTGGTGAGTACAAGGTGTCAGCAGCGCAGAAGCTTGAGAGCGGCGGGACCTAGCACAGAAGATATGACCGCAATGGCGGCAGTGATGTCTGCGGCAGCTTCACACGACCTCCTCCCATCCCTTCCTATCACCTTCTGAGGAGCAGAGTGAACCTGCTGTTGCAGCTCCTGCAGCAGCTACGAGCACAGCAGTTCAGAGCCTTGTCCCCTCTCCTCTCCTCTTCTACTCTGTGCTAGAGTCGTCGTCCCATGTCGGAGCCCCGTTGACGCTTGATGCCGCTGCCATGGCGTCAACACGAGGAGGCGACAAGTGAAGTTAATGACCTTGATAGATCCATCCCTTGCCCTGTCAGACAGCATACCCGTCACTCTTGATACATGTGACTAAGTAGAAGAAGAGAACAAACATTCCGACTATCACTCTCTCCTCCCTCCCCCCCACCCCCGCCTGGGTGGGGGACCCATGAAAATGACCGGGTCCTCCCCACCCCAGTTGAGGAGGTTATCCGATGGTCATGGCGAGGATCAGCGAATTCTGAGGCGAACCCTAATCACCCACTTGGAGACGAAGTGGGGCAACTGCAGGACCTGAGAGGAGGGGAGGGGGAAGCTTGAAGGGGGATGCTCGACGGTTGTGCATCACAGAGCCTAGGCTGCAGGAAGGGGCCTCAAAAGTTTCGGGGGGG